GGTCTTTTTTGAGACAGGGTCTCCCTGTAGCCCCAGCTGACCTGGAACTCACTATGTAGACCAGGCTGGCCTTGAACTCACAGAGATCCACCTGCCTCTGCCTCCCAAGTGCTGGAATTAAAGGCGTGTGCCACCACTCCCGGCACTATATAGATTGTAAATTAGCATTTGTTATTTATTTAAACACAGTTAAATACCACAATTCATATATATTTAGTTTTAAATTTTTATTTATTTTCATTTTATATGAATGAGTGTTTTGCTGAGTTTTAAGTGCACCATGTGCGTGCAATGCCCATAGAGGCCAGAAGGTTTCAGATCCTCTGGAACTGGAGTTCGGGACAATTGTTAGCTGCCATGTAGGTGCTGGGCCCTCTGCAATAGCCAACTCTCTAGTCCCAAAGATTTATTTATTTAATTTTAATTTAATTTATTATTATTATTTGTTTTTTGAGATAGGATCTTATGATGTATGGCCCTCGCTGGCTTAGAACTCAACTATGTAGACCAGGCTCGCCTCAAACTCACAGAGATCTGCTTGCCTCTGCCTCTTGAGTTCTGGGATTAAAGGCTGCACCACCATGCCCTTATATCTTAAATATTTCATAGCTACTTCCTCTTTAATAATTGCCACACAGGCAATTTTCTTATCTGTCCATGAATTGAGTTCATTTGCACTACATCACAGAAGCCTCAAACTTATGATTCTCCTGCCTTAGTATTCGAGTACTGGAATTACAAGCATGTGCCACCATACCTGACTGGTAACAGGCTTTAGAGATGCAGAATCTGACCTAGTAAGTTTTTAATTATCACACACCTAGGCATATTAGTGAGAGGAAATGATATTCCTAGTCTGTATACTTAAAAAAAAAAAAAACACCAAAACCCTAAGAACTAGAAGCAACAAGAAAATCCTGTAACTAAAATGAAAATCTATATAGAAAAACAGCCCTCATTTGAGGCCAGCCTGGTCTACATAGCGATGTCTAGGCCATCTGGGGTTACAAAGAGACCTTGTCTCCAAAAGAAAAAAAAAAAAAAACTTTTTTTGAAAAAATTGTTAAGCTGAAAATACTTTCAGGTCCCCTGATGCTTTAGATGAAATGTCTTCTCACGGCTGCATCTCTGCGGATTCAAGTGACATTTTCCTTAATATTACATGTCCTGAAAAGTTACTGACAGAAGAAGCTAATGGTGCTGCTATTTACTATGTTATCATCACTGCTTCTAGATTCTGGATTCATCTTTGCCTTTGTTCAGATAATGATATGCTTAGTATGTGTTGTTTATTCCCCTTAGGTACTATGAGGGCAGATAACACATGAGTTCTTATAACCTATGTTTTTATGCTCTTCAGATCACTTTTTTCTTGAAACACTACATCTGATAGATATTGTAGCAATAACTTCTATCACTACTGTCACCAGTAAAAAAACACAACTAGAACACTTAAGAATGCAACTAATTGAGGCTGGAGAGATGACTCCGCAGTTAAGAGCACTTGCTACTCTTGCAGAGGACCCAGGATTGGTTCCTAGCACCCATGTGGAGGCTCACAACTGTTGGTAACTTCAGTTCCATGGGATCCAACATTATCTTCTGGCCTCCACAAGCACTGCATGCACATGGTACACATATATACAGAGAAAACACTCCCACATAAAAATAAATATTTTTTAAAAGGAATGTCAGTAGTTATAATCTTGAGGCTTCTTCTGACACTGTCTAATTGATATATGCAGACATAATATTCATTTATAAACAGTAGTGTTAAGTATTGTTACTGTTTTTCTTATAAAGCAAATTTTGATTATTTAAGGAAGTTACATTTCACGCTTTTACCAGGCTTGATTTAAGTCTATTAAATGCCATTTGGACGACCTCCTGATCAGTGTCGAAGCCTCATGTATATTCTGTGCTTTGGTAAGCTCTTTCATAAGCTTGAAATACCATGGGTCTAGTTTAGTGCTGGTTTCATTGATAATTAGCATATATTTAAAGTAGATAGGTAGTAGCACAGGAAGTGTTGTGTTCCTCAGACTGGTGCATTTCTTCCCAGACTATGCCTTCAAATGCAAGGGTAAGGACAGCATGAACAGACTGGTGTTACTTAGAAGAAGACAGAAGCCTCTGGATCTAAGCTTGATATTTTACCTGTTCTTTTTTTTTTTTTTTTTTTAAACTTTTCCTCAAGTATACTTACATTTTTTTTTTCTCATGTAAAGTTCTTTCTAATGATTCTCCTTCCCATGCATTTTTTTTTCATCCTGTGGCTTCTTTTGGTCTCTCCCATTACCTTTTATGCCCCGCCCCAGTCCTCCATTGATAACCAAAGGCCCTTAGTCTTATATTTTATTTCCTCAAGTATATACGTGGGCCAGTTTGATCTGTTTTTTTAATTTTGCACATCTGTAAATATGAGGAACTTGGTGAATATATTTCTTCCTACCTACTACAGTTTTTTAAAATTTATTTATTTTTATTTACATATCTATGCGTGTATATGAAACATGTGCAGGTGCCCAGGGAGGCTAGAAGAGGGCCTTGGATTCCCTGGAATTTCAGTTACACACAGCTATAAGTCTCCTGATATGGGTCCTGGGAAGGGAACATGGGTCCTCTTGAAGAGCAGCAAGTGCTCTTAACTACTGAGTTATCTCTCTAGCCTCTCCCACTATATTTTTTAATGTCTGGATTATAGCACATATTTTAGAGTGGACCAAACAGTTTTGAAAATCATTCTATTTAAAGATAATTTAAGGATTGGTGAGATGGCTCATTAGGTAAAGGCATTGTGGCCAAACATGACGACCTGAGTTCAGTCCCCAGAGCCTACATGGTTGGAAGGAGAGAGCTGACTCCCGAGAATTGTCCCCTGACCTCCACACACACTCCATGGCATGTGCACACACGTGCATAATAGATAAATAGTACACATTTTTTTCCAAAAGATTATTTAAACATACTTGCCTTTATGTTTCATTCCTGCTGTGATTATACTAATGTATGTGTGGCTTTTGTTAATGTACACTTGAATTTTATTCAGTGACTGTCATGATAAGCATTTAAAATTAGGAATACTGGGGCTGGAGAGATGGCTCAGCAGTTAAGAGCACTGACTGCTCTTGCAGAGGACCCAGGTTCCATTCCCAGAACCTACATGTTGGATGGCAGCTGTCTGTAGCTCCAGTTCCAGGAGATCTACACTCTCTTCTGAGCTCTGTGGGAATTGCATGACACAGGTGGACTTACACGTGCAGGCAATGCCTTCATATACATAAAATAATAAAT